GAAGATTAGCGTGGAAAAGTCCAGTCGGAAAAACATGAAAAACTTTTTATTTTTAGTTTTATGAAAAAAGTTATTCTTTATAAAAAGTTCTGCATGGTCCAAACCTAAAATTCAAACTTCAATAATTAAATTTTTTCAGTCATACACGGTTTGTCAAAAAATATGAAAACAAAATTCGTATTTTTTGATAAACCGCATATTTGACTTGAAAAATTTAATATTTCATGATTTTATTTTAGTAAAAAGAGTAACTTTTTTCATAAAACTAAAAATAAAAAGTTTCCCATATGGTGCCGACTTAATTGGACAACCTGTAGAAACGGTGAAATTTCCGTCCAATCAAGAACGTTTCCAGTGAATCAGATTGTGTTTATCGAAGAGTCTCGATTTTGTTTAAGGGCTTATTACGAACGACAAAGGCCACCAAAAAGGCGGACAATTTAATTGCTCAGAACTTGAGCCAGTATGAAATCAGGTCTCCATTAGTATGTCTTATAAGGAATATGAAGATATAGGACTAAATCCTCGATATTCTAGAATCAGTTGCTACTCCATACTGGTATTTCATAAAATTCATAAAAAACAATATGCAAAACAACTCAGACAAATGTATAATAATAATGTAACATATTATACACATACATATAAATAATAGCTCATATATTTACTAAAAATATGTGAAACTATATTGATGTTTAATTGTGTTTCAATACCACACAGCATATAATTTACATAAATAAATAAGACAAACAACGAAACTAATACAATCAGAGTGCCATTGATTTATAATTTACAATTCAAACCTAACTAAAAACTATAATCTAAATTCCTATGTACCGATATTTGGTACCAAGGTCTAAAAATAAGTTATTTCTTCTTTCAGAAGAAATCTGTTGGAATTATCTATTATTGTTAAAGTTGCAATTAAAATTGGTGCAAAACATTTAAAGTATATCTAACTTCGTAATGTATTTATTAACTAATTCAACTAACTTTTATTTACCTACAAATAACCCCCAGTTCATTGACATATAATTTTTGGTAGTAAGTAATATAACTAAGATAATAAATAATAAAGTGATAATAAATAAGACAAGTAATGATACCAATACGATTCACAATCAAGGTACCATACATTTATATTTTTATAACTTGTAATTCACACTTGAAACCTAAGTAAAATATGGAATCTACATTGCTATGTACCAATTTAGTACACAGGTCTAAAAAGAGTTTTCTCTCAAAAGAAAACTATTACCTATACAAAATAATTTACAAATTAACTATAGATGCAAAGTTTACTCAAATTTAAATATAGGAAGAAAATCTTATCTTACTGGGAAATATTCTTAATAAAATACTCTGTATGACCAAGAAACTCATAATATTGCGCGAATATATAAAAAATAAGAGATAAACTTGGGGTAAAAAATAAAACAAAACCAGAAGAAAAAAATATGGTTTCAACATTAAAGAGCAATGTCGTTATAAAAGAAGTATGCGATATGTTGCCCAATACATTTTTAACAATAAAGTTATCACAAGAAGTAAGCACTTTCTTTGGCCTCCGAAATCTCGAGACCTTACCCATGGAACTACTTAAAAAAGGTTTAAAACAAAAAGAGTTTTAATATGTTTTTTATACAGAGTCTTTTAAAAAGAATACTTGTGCCAGGTAAGATAAGTTTTTCATCAAAGCTTTTTGAAACACAAAATAAATAATTTATGTAATACAATTACTTTTGGTATTATTTTACAAAATTTTAATACACTTTGCAACACGTCATCTTTATACCTTAATTTCAAAAGTATGAAATGATACAAGGTGTTCGATTGAAAAAAAAAATTAATCAAGAAAACTTTCAAAAATAGACTTGTTCCTAAAGTTGTCATAATTTTCTAAAATAACACCAAAATTAATTACATTCCATCAAAGGTTTCCATATATGTATATAGATCTACTTACTAGTTACCTCCTAGTTCATCAGTAGATATAATTTTTTTAGAGTATATTTTGAGCTATATAATTAATATATTTTGAGATAATAAATAATAATTTACTAATAAAACAAAAAACACTGATAGCAATATGATCACAGTTTGGGTTTCATTTATTTATAAATTATACTTTTTATGTAAATCATTTTATATTGAACATCTTACGCATATACGCTATATTAATGGTGACCGAGAAGAAATAAAAAATTAAAGCTTTTCCTCCTATCTATAAAACATTTGGCCCACGTACATGAAAAAAATAATTGTAAATATAAATTTCCGTATAAAAGAGAGGAGGATTTCATCAAGAATCAGTACCAGTAAAGATACATGTATTTGTACTCTATGTTAGACAGTCGAAATGAAAGAATAGCGAAGGCAATTTACAGAAATATGACTGCTTAGATCACGGGTTCCCAAAGAGTGCCGCCAAAACAGAAAAATTTCTACACTTAATTGGTTGCTAGGCAACAGTTGCCACCCACTTTTAGCACATCAGCTATTGTCCTGCTTGTGTGGAATGTTCTAGAAGCGACTAGTTCATTCGTGTACATTCGGAACAACTGGCATTTCCATATAAAACCGCAGTAGTGTCAGTGCCAGGAGGCTTGTGCTCTACTAAAATAAACGGTTCTTTGTGAAGTGAGTGGCAAGTGATTTGTTAATATGTTCATTATGAAGGCTTTTCATGACAACGTCGTCATAAAAAAAAGCGGATCCGTCAGCTTTCGAGAAGGTAGGAGCTCCACTGGGGACACCATGTATTGAATTTATACTTCCAAGTAAACTTCAACGGCCCTTCTCCACTCGAGACTTTTCGCAAGAAAATTAACAGCAGCAGAAAAACAAAAGTATGCATCTTCCAAACTTTTGGCATTGTATAGAGTGGACTATATAATTGCTCAGTGTAAGAAGCCTCTTACAATTGCAGGAGAGTTGATTTTACTTGCTGCTGTTGATATAACAAAAATTATGCTCGAGGAGGATGTTGGTAATCCTTTTTCAGAAAATAACACTGTAAAGTTCCACTATCTGTAAAATTGTATACATAGTTATAGATACTGTCGCTTTGAACGGCAAATATTTTGCGATTCACCTAGATGAGGCAACATTTTAATTTTAGACATCAGAAATTTAAGATTTAAATCTTTTGAAAGTTAAGGGCGCCATAGCTTAAAAATTTGGGAACCCCTGACTTAGCTGGATAAGTGAACTGATGAAAAAGTGGTAGAGATATGAAATTAGTGAAGCCATCCTCGTGAAGGATAAAAAAAGAGAATAATGAAGTTTAAAATATTACTTACATATAATAATAAATATGCTATTTAAACTTCATAAGAAATTATATTGCAACATTGCTGTTAGTGAAGAAAGTCACAAGTGATTTTTCACCTACATTTTCTACCAGTGTTAGAAAAAGAGAAGGAAGTAATATTTTTTAAGGTTAGATTTGTAAAAGGGGGCAAGGTAAGAACACAGCCCATCAAAAATGGTATTGTGGTGTTGCCGGCATGTGCAATAAATAAAATATAGCCAGGATAGGTGAAAAAATCCGTTTCCATAGTGCTGCTTTGGAAATAAGATGCAAACAGACAGTAAATAGAATATATCTAACTATAAAAAAACGAGGGATTCTGAATTTTCCTTTAAGAAAACAAGCTAACAATGCATACAAAACAAGAATCACTTGCTAGCCACGAATAGAAAAGAAGAATATGAAGATGAAAATTTTAATGATGATGCCGATATTTAAATCCTTCTAAAGAGACAGTTCTTTAAAGCACTCAGAGAAATAGGAAAATAGAGAAGATAAAGAAGAGATAAAATAATTACAAAAGTCAGACCAAAAAGTGAATAAAGCATTCGAAGAAACAATACAACGTTTAAATGAGGCGGAAAACAGGGTAGCAAGGTATAAAACTGGTGAAAGATTAGTTAGTTTGCAAAACAAAGAATTTTTAGTAAATTTTTTAGTAGAAATAATAGGTATATAGAAATATACAGGATCAGGTGGTTTTCTGGCACTTAAAATTAAAAGAGGAAAACGGAAATAAGCAAAAGAATTAACAAAAAAGAAAAGTATGGATTGGTGCTCATAAAAGAAAAAACAATGAGTTATGGTTTGATAAATAATGGAAAACAGCTTTAAGCAAAAACGGAGGCAAGACTAAAAATGATGATAAATCCAAGTAAAGGTAGTAAAGAAAAGTATATAACTGTAAGAAGAGAAGTGAAATGAACATGCAGAAAATTTTTTGAAGAATCTTAATTAGATACAGACCCGAAAAATTATTGAAAAAACGAATAAACTTAACAGTGCTAGAGATAGTAGAAGATGAAGAGAAGTTGTACAACAAATCTTGGGTCAGTAGGTCTGTTGCGCTATCACGATATATATTATATATATGAAAAAATATTGCAACTTAACACTAATTTTAACATAAACTAACCGAACTAATAAATTATTATTCACCAGTTATTCAACAGTTATTTAGTAGACAGTGTTTTCTGTCTATTCAAACATTAGCCATCACGGATATATTAATGGAAACCTATAAGTTAACTGCCAAAAACCAATCGCCATTGGTAACGTAAGTCGACTAATTACGATGAAATTCTCTGGTATCTTGAACCACTACATCGAATGCTACTAACAACTGCTAGATTCTAATAAAGTAAAATGAAAATAACTTGCGAGTTTAGGAAAGAGTTACAATGCTGTATTATTCAACAAAAAAATTGAGCAAACTTTGATTGACTAACCAATTAAAAATGCTTTATTTCTTTAAATAAAAAATATCATCTTTGCTTGTGTATACACAAGTTGAAATAATAGCTTATCACAATGTTTATTATCTAAGATAATTATAAATGGTTACATTTAAATATTTATAGGACTTCTTTGACACTTGCATTGTCGATAAATATAAACAACTGTAATTGTTATTAAAATATTATTAATTATTCATCGGAAATGAATTGAACACAATTTGCAATGAATTTGAAATTTAAAATATGAAATTTGAACTTTGGAATACATGAAAAATTAAACTTTTCATTGAATTTATTAGTAAACTTTTTTGTTTACCTGGATGTACCTCAACAAACCGGCATGTGGCATCACCCTATACAGCGTATTAAAAACAAGATTATAAAAATAAAAATCTATGTTCTTGGTACTAAAAAGCCCAAACAGTATCACATGTTTACATAACAAAACAAAACAAAACAAAAGGTTGGCAATAATTTGTTTCTTTTCTTTTAATAATGGGTATAAAGAACAGCCTGTCTTTTCTAGTATTCTTAAAAAAATCATTTATCATTGACACAATTTTAGTATTCTTAAAAAATAAGTTTTTATCATTGCCAAAAATGACAATAAAACAAAGTGGGCAAAGCACAATCAGACTAGCAGAATAATCAGTAGAATGCTTTCATACAATGCACAAAATATAATGTATGTTAACTATATACCCTTGGAAAAAGCAACCTGTAGTTACTTCTAAAAAATATAAGCATAATAACCTTTAACACACAGTAAACTTACGCTAACATCCAAACAATTATTAACAAATAACACAGTTTGATTTTTCATTGATATTGCCATCAGCTTTTTCAATCTCCATCAACAAAACGTGAAATATATCTGAAACAGACTAAAAAGAAAAATGATTTATACAAACTGGCTCAGTACATCATATAATTTAGAATTTTTTTAACTCATAAACACATCAATCGCAAAGAGTTTGTTAATAAATATAACAAACACATGAAATATTACATTAAGTCGGAGGGGCCAATTTGGCCCTTGTTGCGTTTTGAAGTTATTGTAGTTCTTTATTTGACACATAATAATTTCATATTTTATGACTTTTAATATTTTGATACAAAGTCTTATTTAACGCAAAAATATTGTTTGCTAAATTTATTAAATGGATTTTCTACAACCTACACCATAGAAGTATGAAGGGGCCAACTGGCCCCTGTATTAATTATTATCGTTTTCTCGGAATTTGACGATTTCTTTTAACTTTCTGTCGGATAGATAAAATTATGTTTATGTACTTTTATTCCTAGAAGGTATTTTGTTACATACTGTTTGTTCCTTGAAAGTATTTTGGTTTCATTGAGCGGTTTATTAGGGTTCTGCTGACTCTCGTTTCTAGAATATGAAACATTCGTTCAATTGTGAAAAATTCAAGACGACTGTAAAGATGTCTCGTCGTGGACTATCAGAGCTTGAAACTTCTTGAAGAAATACGGAAAAATACAAGAAGATGTTTCGGGAGGTTGCAGAAAATAATGAGTCAGACTATGAACAATACGTACCACCACGAAATAATGATTCAAGTGACTCTGATGCTTCAGAGCAGTTAGAAAGTTTTATTGTACAAGACTCACCAATATTATGTAAAAACTGCTTCTACAATCTCAACGCACGAGTCAGCTAAATTTCATCGTGAATCCAAGTGCATCTACGCCAAATCACAAGTGAAAAAGAGGTCAACAAGGAAAAACTATTTCAATCGGAGACACCGAACAATCGAAAGACGGAACAACATGGAAAGTTATTGATTCTGGATCAGTACCTGTAAGATTATGATTTTTAGTATCTTCATATTCATTGATGTTTGCTCATTACAGGACGCCACGCTCAGCACAACATTTATCGAAGGAATTCAGGTCCTACGTCGTATGCAAAAAGGAACGTGGAGGAACAATTGTGTGGTAAGTGCTGAATTAATAATCAACGGCAGCCATTAGTCATATAAAAGAATGCACTATTGCAGAAGACATCGATGTTTGAAAAATGACACATGGACTATAACTTTGGAAGAACTGGGAGGCTGCCCTTGCTATTATGTGCGCAGGAGGCGTCTTACGGCGCCAAAATTTCCAACCAATAGCTTGTGGTCAACATTATGGGTACCTCAGTTTTTTTAGGCAAACTATGCCACGAGACAGATTCAAGGATATATAAAATATCTCAGATTTGACATAAAGCAAAACGAGATCTGAACGATTGAAAACCAACAAATTTGCTCTAGCCTCTGCGGTTTGGAATGGATTTATAGAAAAAAGTGGTACATGTTACAAACCGGGGAATAAACCTACTGTGGACGAACAACCACTGCCTTCTAAAGCCAGATGCCGTTACACACAGTACATATAAATAAGCCGGATAAGTTTGGCATAAAATGTTGGCTTTTGACATGCGTGGAATCAAAATATATTGCAAATGGTTACCCTTATACTGGCACTGATCATCTACGCAAGAAAGATACAAGTGTTGGTGAACATGTTGTTTTGAGGTTAATGGAAAATCAACTGGGAAAGGGCAAAATTGTTACGACAGATACTACTTTACATCGTTAAAATTGGCCAAGGCATTGCAAAAAAAATCAACAAGTCTTGTGGGTACTTTGAATCGCAACTGAAGGAAGTTCCTCTAAGCGTAAAGAGTAAAAATGGAGAATTATATGTTACCCAATATATTCAGTGCGACGAAAAGATAACACTTACTGCATACCAAGGAAAGGAGTCACAAAATGTGCTTTTGTTGAGCTCATTACATCAATCCGTGGATGTTGCTGTCGATGAAAAAAACTTCCTCAAACAGTAAGTTTTCATAATAAAACAAAATTACGGGTTGATGTAGTGGACCAAATGGCGCGTCTTTATACTACAAAAGTTGCTTCAAGACGATGGCCAATGCACGTGGTTTTTAACATTCTTGACTTAGGAAACAATAAATGCATGGATTATTTATAAAGAAGTTACTGGAAGTAAAATTAGTCGTCGTAAGTTATTCTTCAGCTGTGTGAATAATTACGGGCTCCATACCTTGCCTCCCGAAATCTTGGTACTATACCCAGCACCACCAGGATTTACCAACCACCAGCACTGTTACTAGCCAAAAAAGAAAAAAATGTCAGTTTAAAAATATTTTGTAAAGGAATAATAAACTTCCAATGAGTGCCAACGGCTGTATCAAGGCAATGTGTGGCAAATGCCAAAAACTGCAAACTGTATGGTGTTCCAAAATGTTTAATAAATGAAAACTAAAATTAAATCTAATTCTATCGTCAAGGTTTTTATAATTTCTTAAAACGGTTTATTTTATTTTTTTGTTTATTCCCAAATACATAGTTGATTCTAACTGGTTTTTATTGATTTAGGAACTTGGAGGCCCAAAATGATCCCTTCGGGCTTTCTAGGTAGGTAAGCTAAGCCCGACTTTCTAGTGTTAAATAGTATAACTTGATTTGTCTTTTATGTCTTTTAAATAGGTTAACAGTGTTAAGATTTTCTTGGTGAGAACTGTTTTGAGATCATCACCTGTGATTCCGTGGGATCTTCTTTCTTCCACGAATTGCGGTCTTGCCACAATCAAGCAGGATATGGTTAACGGTCAGTAGATCAGACCAGCTGGAGCAGATTGGAATTGGTTCTCTTGTTATTAAGTATGGCCAATTCTTAGACGGTTAATAATAACTTGGTTTCTTCTGTTTGAAGGATTCTCCAGAACACCATTTACTTTTGTAAATGCTGTTTTTTTACATACAGTACAGTAGATTTTAACCTGGTTTTTTAGATCCGTGCAACGATACGTTTTCAACTTTGCATTGTGGTTTGAGCTCATTCCCTTTTGTTTGCCAATTGATCTGCTTTTTCATTTTCCATAGATATCTATCTGTGTGTGAATGTGCCCAAGTAGAAACCGAATAAAAGCCGCTTCCTTTCCTAATGATCGGAATGTTTCTAGTTCGTTTTATTGTTTGTAAAATAGGGTTTTTGGTATATATTTGTTTCATTGCCAGTAATGCATTTAATGAGTCTGTTAGGATAATGCACTTCATCGTCCTTATTTTTTTTTGAAGATTCGGGCTTCCAAAACAGCTGTGGCCTAACATGTAAGTATACTGCAGTTTGTAGGTACCGATATGATATAAGAATTTTCATTACAGTACTAGGCAGCACCGTGATCATTTGGGTGTTTTAGAGGCGTCGGTAAAGATTTGCAAATAGTTAGGATAGTGGTCTAGAATTTTCATGAATAGATGTTAAATTAGTGGGGTATTTGTAGTTGATTTGGGATACTTTGTAGGTGTTAAGTCAATAGTTAATGGGGGGCTTGTTCATGGCAGAAGTTTGCATTTTTATATTTAGCGATACATTGAGTCGATCCCTATCGAAAGTTGTGAGCTATTCTTTCTATGAGGGATGTAGAGTTTTTAGTCTTTTTATTAGGAGGGAGACCAGGGTTGCAGATGTGGAAGAATACAGGATGCTGTTTCTGGGATGATATCTTTGCAATATAGTTCAAGAATAGTTCTTCTTCTTTCTTCTTTTGGCATCATAACCCTGGATGGGTCTGTTGCCTGTCTGGCTATGTCCCTTCCATTCAGATCTCTCTTGTGCCCTTCTTCTCATTGTCTTATGTTCATTGTTTTCAGGTCGTCTTCCACGTCATCCAACCATCTCGTTCTGGGCCTTCTATTTTTTCGCCTTCCTATGGGCTTCCATTGTACATTTTCTTTAGTTGTTTTGCATCGTTTTGTCTCTGCACATGTCCAGCCATGACAGTCTTGACTTTTCACCAAATCTTACAATGTCATAACCTTCATTTAACTCCTTAACTCTCGTCGTTTCTCCTGATTCTCCATGTGCCATCTTCCTCTTGTACCGGGCCATATACTTTCCTCAGTATTTTTCTCTCGACTGTCCTGAGTTGGGCTTCATCTTTTTTCGTCAGTTACCCAAGTTTCATATCCATAGGTTACTACGGGTCTAATCAGTGTTCTGTACATACATTTTAAGTAACATGCTAGACGTGTGCTACTTGCTACTTGCCACTTGCCATGCCAGTTTGGTGGACGCTCTCACTTAGATGCATTTAGTGTAGTTAATATGTTTTGGGAAGTTTTTGGGTGTGCATTAGAAGTGGTTGGATTAACTTTGTAATAGCATTCTGCTTCTTCTTCTTCTTCAGCCTGTGTTCGTCCACTGCTGGACATAGGCCTCTTCCATTTGCTTCCATCTCTATTTCTACTTTTGGCAATTCTCATCCACTGCTTGCCCGCGACTTGTTTGATATCGTCTGTCCACCTCTTCTGCGGTCTGCCTACTCTTCGCCTGTTCTCTCTTGGTCTCCAGTTTGTTAATCTTTGTGTCCATTTTTCGGGATTTATCTCGGGCAACGTGTCCGACCCATTGCCACTTGAGCCTTGCAATACGTTCTGAGACATCAGTAATTTTTGTTCTTTCACGAATGGACGTTATTTCGAACCTGTCTCTCAAACTAATCCCTAGCATGGCCCTCTCCATTGCTCTTTGGGTTGTACTGAGCTGCTCTAAGGTTTTCTTTGTGAAGGCCATGGTCTCCAGTCCTATGTAGTTACAGGCAAGATACATTTGTCATAAACTCTACGTTTTAGACACATTGGTATATCTTTATTCTTCAAAATAAAGCTTAATTTGCCGAAAGCTCCCCAAGACAGTTTATGCGTCTTTTTATTTCGGCTGTTTGATTTTCTTTGCCGATTTAATGGTTGTCCAAGATATATATAGTGGTCTACATTTTCAAGACTGACGTTGTCAATAACAAGATTAGTTTGTAAATTACTCATTATTTTTGTTTTCTGAAGGTTCATTTTTGAGACCTATTTTATTTGACTGCTGGTTTAATTCCTTCAACATTTGCTCCAGTTCCTTGATATCTGTACTAAATAAATACTATGTCATCGCAAACCTCAATTGACTCAAACGTACACCATCAATGTTTAGACCTTTTTCCTCCCAGTCAAGCTGTTTGAATACATTTTCCAATGCTAAGGTAAAAAGCTTTGGTGAAATAGTATCACCTTGTCTAATACCTTTATCAAGGCGCATTTTTTCAGTTTTTTCGTCTTCATTGATTTTGATGTGGAATGTGGCCTGTTCATAAATGTTTTTAATGAGTGTAGTGTACCGTGAGTCTATTCGAGCATCCTTCAGGGCTGACAAAAAGGACCAAGTCTCAATACTATCGAAAGCCTTGTGAAAGTCGATAAATGCCATATGTAAAGGTACATTATATTCTGTGGTTTTTTCTACTAGTGTTCTGATGGTTTGTAAGTGTTCATTAGCGCCAAACCTTTTCTAAATCCCGCCTGTTCAACCGGTTGATATAAATCAAGTTTTTGTGTTATGCGGTTGGTTATTATTCTTGTTAACAATTTGTATAAGTGTGACCAACAAAACTTATAGGTCTGTAGTTTTCAATATTAGTAGTGTCTCCTTTCTTGTGTAAAAGTATTATTTCGGCGTTTTCCCATAGGCTGGGGTGATATCTTTTTTCTGTTAGACCCTTATTCAGTAAGACTTCCACACACTTCTACAAACGATGTTGCCGCCCATTTTTAACATTTCAGACGTTTATACGATCCTCGCCGGGAGCTTTTTTGTTTTTCATTTGCTGTAAGGCATGTCTAATTTCCGAAGAGGTTATTTTAGGGAGGGTTCCGAGCCGACGTTTAGACTTGTTCTGTGGTCTGTTTCGGGGTTCTGTATAGTAGATGTATAAAGATTCTTATAGAACGTTTGTATTTCCTTGATTATTTGAGTTTTTTCGGTTTGAGCATTCTGCTTACTGGTTATCAATAGTCTTGCATTTTGTACTAAATAGAAAGTACAGTACTTCTATAAAAAGGTATAATCGGTAAGTGGTATTGTCATGAGAGATGATGAAAGAATCAGGAATAGACATATTTTCTAAAGGTGTGATAAATATTTGTTTTCCAAAACTCAAAACATGGCTTCATTTTAAGACGTTCCTACTCTTAGGAAGTCACCTTAGAGACAGCGTTTATACCCATCTTATGTAGTTCTTGTTGAATTAACGTGTTTGGAACAGTTGGGCAAGTATTTAATATTAGTACTTGAGTTAGAGTAATAAGTTTCCTTATTTCTGCTGGAGTGACTTTAATATTAACATATGTATTTGTGGGAATGAAGCAGCGAATCAACTCTATTTTTAGAAGAAAGATATAAACATTGTTGGCGATTCTGGAATGTGTGTCGTCCGCATATGGCTCAACTTCGTTACGCCGCACATGTGCGTCGTCCGCAGCAAAAGGGTTAAGGAACTAACTACTTAAATCAAGAATTTCACTGATACCATTGGTGATCAAGCACTATCTTAGAGAATGAATTTAGTTCAATTACTTCTAATACAGTAAATTTTAAAATATAACATTTAGAAGAAAGAACTGAACAACATTACTACAGAATGAATAAGTACCAATAGACTGAGTACCAAAATGATTTTCACATTTCACTTAATAATCATTGTATTGTTGCAATTTCTGATGCTTCGTGTATATGTAGGTCTAGTTATAGAAAATCACTTACTGCATTTTGTTTTGCTGATGTTTCTAAAAACGTAGCTCTCCATTCTTCTGCAAGTCTTCTTCCTTCATCTGTAGGAATTGTTCTTTCTAAATGTAAGTCTGTTTTATTGCCAACTAAAACTACTGGAACACTAAAACAAACAATTAATATTAACAATATTATTGTATGTATATATATATATATATATATATATATATATTTTATATATATATATATATATATATATTATTATATATTATATATAATATATTATATTTATATATATATATATATATATATATGTTATATATATATATATATATATATATATATATATTATATATATATATATGAGGAGGTGTCAATCAAAATCAATCATGTCCACCTTAAGAAGTTTTAGGGAAATCGCAAAAAACGTATTAGTAAATAACCTTACATGAAAAATCGGATAAATTAGCATATATCATTTTATTTATTGAAATTAACTGACTCTTAGTAAATATTTCAAATCTGAAGGTATAAATAAACCTGTAAATACATTTTAAAAAAAGGACATGTTCTTATTTGATTGGACTTCATGGACGTTGATAGAAGGGGTTGATAAAAAAACTCTTAGACTACTTAAAATATCTATTGTATTGTTACAAAAAATATCTTGAAAAATGGCTAACATTTACCAACGACACTTTCCACAAAATATAAATGTTTAAATGTGTAGTCCAATGTCAGGTTCTAGACAATCACAGGATTCGTCCACTTCGTCAGCATCAATTTCGTCGTCCTGGACTTCCACTATTATGGTCTTATACCAAGATAAAAAGTCATGTTTCTGCCAGTCATCACCATACATTTTCACAAGTAACGTCTCCACGTCCTTCTTCTTAGCTGCTTTCACTATATTGCTCAGTGGAAGTGACTCTACAGGAGTTGAGAACGACCTTGCAGAATGCCAGCCTTTTTTTGAGGCTTGTTGTAGGTTTCAAAATCACTTTCAAACCTAAAATTCTGTGCCGATTTCACTTTGATAACAGTAAGTTCTTGTCCATTGCGGTTGACAGCTTTCTCTTTCCTCACAAAAATCCTCTTCTTTTCAGATATCATTTCAATGTTTTTAAATCGTGTAGCCAAACTTTTAGCATCAATCAATCCCCAATCCTCTCCAAGTTTCCGTACTTCTCCAACAGAACTATATACATTGTAGTACTCTTCCTTTGTTGCAATGGTAGGCTGCTTCCTGAGTAACTTTTCAACCCTTCCGAACACCCGATCAGCGGGGAGGAAGCTATGCCCGCGAACAGGGTATGTTAGAACAATCTCCTCTAAAGCATTTTGCACTGATCCTAAGTAATACACTAATGTGTGAACAACGGCATTGTTTTTGTTTTGACCGGCACACCCATCACAGAACAGATTCAGTCTTGTTACATTTGAAAAATTAGCGGAGTTCAAGAAATTTATAAGTGCAGATGAAACTTCGGTCGCACCCCTTCCTGCAAGTTCTTCAGTCCATACGTAAAATATGGGGTTTTGTGCGTTTGATGCTACAATGCAAAAAGAGTAAAAACTTAATTGTCTTTTGTAGAACGCGTCTTGAATAGGAGTTTTGGGAAGTGCTTGAATTTGCTGGAGATCAAAACAGAAAGTAACCTCATTTTCTTTGTTTTCCTTTAAGAGCCCATAAAAAGCATTAGCTCTTAATCTGTGTATTCTTTTCTCCATCATAAATTGGTTGACCACTACCAAGTCTTTCACAGCTTTAGCCTTCTCAATTTTCAGCTGAAGATCTATTTTATTGCATGTACTGCAAACGTCAGAAGCTGGTGATGAAAATCCGATATTTAATTCATTGAAAACTCTCCTAAACATAGATTTCTTAACTTTAAGATTATCAAGTACAGAATCATTGTATATTAGCCACAACTTCTTAATGTTTAAGTCTGCACCAAGATAAATCCTTTTCGATTTTTTTCGATTATAGTGGCTTTCTTTTCCTCTTAAATTTCTCAAAAAAAGGCGGACTGATTCCTTGTTCGCAGCAGATTTGTGACTCTTCCTATCGCCACCCCTCTGATCCTTAACAGCCTTTCCCTCTTTCACCTTTTTAGAAATATTAGTCAATCTTGTTCCCTTCACCATGGTAATATGCATGAAAAGTTTCCTACACACAGGTATAACTTTACCGGTTGATGAAAGTATAGAATATTGTACACTAAAACTTTTAGCCTTTGATTTTTCAGAGGTAGGCCTAGGCCTTCGCCGCTTTATGTTACGTTGATTTATCCAACTGGCAATGGTGTTATCTTGCGTGTTTTTGTCAGGTATTTTGTAGAGGATATTTCGAACAAAAATAGCATCTATAGGCCTAACTAATGCACATTTCATACCTTTGTTCATGTGTTTACATGGAACAAACACACGACATCCCACTGGAGTACTGTATCGCTTAAGCTTGGCTCTAGTTTTTTTATCCACAGTCTTTTTATTTTTACGAGATCCTTCATTGGCATCGCCCACTCTCACTAAGTTTTCTTCATCCATGGAAAATTTCAATTTTATTTAATAAAAACTACTATAATAATATTAAAATTAAACCACAGTGCAATACAAACTCAATACTCGCTATCGACATAACCTAGAGGGAAAACACAGACAATGTGTTGACATGGTCAAATCACGTGACCAAATCGGGGCACTCCTATTAGCTGAATGGACATGTGGTGGTATGATTGAAACCAACTGTGGACATGATTTCATTTGATTTGGGAACCTAATATTGTGTATTCATTTTAAACAGGATTGTTTAACAGATTTGATTTTTATGGACATGATTGATTTTGATTGACACCTCTATATCTATATATTATATATATATAATATATATTTATATCTATCTATATATATATATATATCTATATATATATATATATATATAATATATTATATATATATATATATATATATATATAGTAAAACTCTTAAATATTGGGGAAATCTGCAAAAAAACTCTAATGTGTATCAATTATTTCACCTAACGTTTTCGCCAAAGAGAATTTGGCTTCTTCAGGGCTGAAAGAGAATAAATTATAATTAGCTACCATATATTATCTAATAAAAAACATTTACCTTACCGTGAAATTTTAGAAATGTCAAGTTATGATGTTAAAAAACTTTAGCTAGTAACAACATAGTGGTGTTTTTTTGTTACTATGTGCAAAAAAGTTTATTTGTGAACGTTGGAAATGTATGGTAGCTTTGAACTTAAAACGCAAAGGTTTACCCAAGGACAATCGAAAAACCCAATGTAACTACATTTAAAGGAAGTAATTCTTTGAATTGTCGGCAATAACTAAATTTTTAATTGTTGTAAAGTTTGAATGTGAGCTTCTGTTTTCATAGAACGCAAGCGCCGAAACAATTACAAGTAGTTCTTTTGATATGAATGTCGTTAAGGTTCATTGGTAAAACCGATGAAGTTAGATCTCCGTCTGGGGAGATATTAGTTTAGAATTTCTAATTGAAATTCTTTTTTTTTAATTAGTAAATTGTTCATGTATTATTGTAATAATATCTTATTGAGATGTATCTAAGAAAAGCAAGGGAATGTTATCTTTTTTTGTTAATGAAAATTATTATTAAAGTAGGTTAGTTGTTAATAGATATATCAGTCAAGTTGGTTATCTGTGATGTTGTATTGTTCTTGGTATCTGATTTAAGTAAGAAGTGGTATATATCGCTTAGATTCTTAATGTCACTCTTAACATTGATGGAAAAATCGTTAAGGAAAATATAAGACATTTCAATGAACTCTCTTTTAGATTTATTGCTCTCACGGTGGAGAATTGTAGTGTTCGTATAGTCCATGTGATGACCAGTGGAATGGACATGTTTGGCTAATGCACAGCGGTCAGGGTGAAGTCGAGAATCACTTTTGTGTAGTGTAATACGTGATTTCAATAATTGAGATGTTTGGCCGATGTAGGAATTGTTGCAAGAGAGACATGGAATGTTGTAGACAATATTACTAAGCCTATCTATGGGAGTCTTATCTTTTATCTTCGAATAAAGATTATTAATTGTTAGGGCTGATCTACAAGCCACATTAAGTTTAATGTTATTATTATTATTAGAAAAGCTATTTTCAAAACTTTTTAGAATCCTTGTTAACCCGGAGTGATATTCTTATATGCTATTTAATATACTCGGGGTTAACAAGGATTCTAAAAAGTTTTGAAAATAGCTTTTCTAATAATAATAATAACATTAAACTTAATGTGGCTTGTAGATCAGCCCTAACAATTAATAATCTTTATTCGAAGATAAAAGATAAGACTCCCATAGATAGGCTTAGTAATATTGTCTACAACATTCCATGTCTCTCTTGCAACAATTCCTACATCGGCCAAACATCTCAATTATTGAAATCACGTATTACACTACACAAAAGTGATTCTCGACTTCACCCTGACCGCTGTGCATTAGCCAAACATGTCCATTCCACTGGTCATCACATGGACTATACGAACACTACAATTCTCCACCGTGAGAGCAATAAATCTAAAAGAGAGTTCATTGAAATGTCTTATATTTTCCTTAACGATTTTTCCATCAATGTTAAGAGTGACATTAAGAATCTAAGCGATATATACCACTTCTTACTTAAATCAGATACCAAGAACAATACAACATCACAGATAACCAACTTGACTGATATATCTATTAACAACTAACCTACTTTAATAATAATTTTCATTAACAAAAAAGATAACATTCCCTTGCTTTTCTTAGATACATCTCAATAAGATATTATTACAATAATACATGAACAATTTACTAATTAAAAAAAAAGAATTTCAATTAGAAATTCTAAACTAATATCTCCCCAGACTGGAGATCTAACTTCATCGGTTTTACCAATGAACCTTAACGACATTCATATCAAAAGAACTACTTGTAATTGTTTCGGCGCTTGCGTTCTATGAAAACAGAAGCTCACATTCAAACTTTACAACAATTAAAAATTTAGTTATTGCCGACAATTCAAAGAATTACTTCCTTTAAATGTAGTTACATTGGGTTTTTCGATTGTCCTTGGGTAAACCTTTGCGTTTTAAGTTCAAAGCTACCATACATTTCCAACGTTCACAAATAAAC